ACCTGGAAGTCATGCAAACACTCTGGTCTTACCTGACAGGAGGAAAAGATCCGAGGAGGTAAGAGCTGGATACATTATATTTGTTAAAATGTATTTTTGTTTTTACTTTGGGTAGTTGTGAAGTATCATGAAACAATTTTTTTTAAGCCCCAAATAGCAAAACAGTCTTAAAAATTATCAACTATAACACAATCTCTTACTGCAGAGTCGTTGTATTTGAGTCTGTATTTTATTCTCCCACTTTCAGGTGTTTGTGTTTGAGATGGAGGGCTGTGTTTGGCTTTATTATGTTGCCTGCTTTCAGATAGTTGTATGTTGCTTTTTCCACTGACTCCTTGCTTCTGGCTATTCCACTGACATGCATGAATTGTTCTATTACAGCAAACTAAAAATATGGTGGTACTTTCTCAGTTCAAATGCCTTTTTTTGTTTTCAGATGAATACATTTGTTACAGTGCTGATTATTGTAATAATAAAACTCATGAATTAGTAGCTTTAGAATTCCTCATCTTTATAGTTTTTAAACGAAGCTTCCAATTTTTTTAATTGTTATAAATATCAATAGAGTAAAGTACAAACTGTGTTTCTGCACAGTGAGACATTTTAAACATTTAAACTTGATTCAAAATGCTGTTGTTTGACAATTAAAATCTCTCCAGTGACAAGTATGTGGAGGGTTCAACCTGGAGCTGTCCCTTCAGCACCTCAAACTCTCTAATGGAAAAAAAAAAAAATACATTTCTTCTCTGGGTGTTACAAAACAAATAATCTGTAATGGTGCAACTATGAGTTTGGTCCAAAATCTACCATGAAAATCAGTTTACACATTTTGTCTTTTGCTGATATAATTCAGACACAGAAAACATTGGAGGAGTTTCTTTTTTTGACAGAGATTTTGTTCATAACTTTAGTAAATCTTTTTTTTTTTTTTTTTGTATTCAAGGGAACTTACAATAATAAATAAAATAAATAATATATAAATAAAAATAATATAAGATAAAATATAATATTAATAATAATGACAATAATTTACTTGCGTTTTTTTCTTATTGTGATACATGTTGTAAGCACATTTTGTGCACAAAACGGAAACTTGCCCTCTTTGACAGTTTCTTAGTTTTCCTTGTTATTTGTGTTCTTGTGACAACATATTTTATGTTTTCCACTTGCAAATTAGAGTTAGTAACACTCATCAGCCCATAGAAAGAATCAACGTTTTTAAAAGTGCAATTGTTTCCAAAATATGTGTTAACACTTTTGATTTGTTCTTATATAACAAAAAACCTAAGCTGAAAATCATGCTTTATTCATGCACTTTTAAATTCCTTCATTCGAAAGCATTTTTCTCTCTTTTTAAATGAATATGATGAGTGACTATAGCATAAATGCACATCTTATATTTATACACTTGACTCCTAAAAGTTATAGTTTTGAAATATATGTTTTGAATTTTGAAGTCATGGCAGCCCTGTAGCCTCAAGATGTCAGTATTACACAGAGAAACCCGGCTACACTTGTCCATCTCATCATAGCTCTTTTGTTTGGAAGAAGCAGAGACGCATTCTGCCTCTCGACCTTATCGTGCTGTGGATCTAATCGTTTTCCGACTCACAATGGATGTGGAAGTGTAGATTTTGTGCATTAAAGTAACCCTTTATTGTTAGATGATGATGTGGACGGGAACTCGGAGCGGAGGACGGAAATGCCTCGGGTCTGCTCTGCGTCTGGCCTTGATGTTGTTCGTCGGCACGGAGGTTTGCGCAGAAACAAGATACTCAGTTGCAGAAGAGGTGAATGGTGGATCCTTGGTGGGAAATGTGGCGAAGGATCTGGGGCTGGACATCACCTCTTTAACGGACCGACGGTTCCGCGTTGTGTCTGAAAACGAGAACGCATTTTTTGATGTGAACCAGGACAGCGGGGATCTGTTCGTGCTGAAAAAAATCGACAGGGAGGAGCTGTGTCAGGGTGGTGCTGCATGCCTTATGGAGCTGAAGATCATTGTGGAAAATCCTTTGGAGATACACTACGTGGTTGTAGAAATTAAGGATGTGAATGATCACGCTCCCGTTTTCCCCGAGAAGGAGCAGAGTTTTGAAATATTTGAGCAAACGTCTCCAGGGACGCGATTCCAGCTGCACGCTGCTCGTGATCCAGATGCAGGCTCTAACACAATACGTGCGTACACATTAACATCAAATGAACACTTTGATATAGATGTACGTCAAAGTGATGAGGATAAAATACCATTTCTGGTGCTAAAGAAGTCTTTAGACAGAGAACAAAGGAGCAAGCACGTGTTATATGTAACAGCTGTAGATGGAGGGAAACCTCCAAGATCAGGAGCATTGAATGTCTCTGTTATTGTTCTGGACAGTAATGATAACCGCCCTAAATTTAGTCAGGAATCATATCAAATTGATGTAGAAGAAAATGTACCAATCGGCATTTCAATATTTAAAATAAACGCAACAGATCCTGATGAAGGCACCAACAGTCAAATTGAATATAGCCTTGGAAAAACACTTAAGAAAAAAGTCTACAATATTTTTGACCTGGATAAAATAACAGGTGAGATAAGAGTTAAAGGTGCTGTTGATTATGAGGAAAACGATGTTTATAAACTGGACATAGAGGCTTCAGATAAAGGAACACCCCCATTAAAAGGTGAGTGTAGACTCATTGTAAAAATCAAAGATGTGAATGATAATCCACCTGAGATTGATATAACATCGCTATCTAATAAAGTGCCTGAGGACTCAAAGCCTGGCACAATTATTTCCCTTATTAGTGTAAAAGATAAAGATTCAGGTCTCAATGGTAAAATTATTGCAAGCATTAGCTCCGAGGTTCCATTTGAACTGAAGCCATCTTACAAAGAAAATACATACTCAATTGTTACAAAAGGATTTTTAGACCGTGAAGAGATTTCTAGTTTTGAAATAACAATCAGAGCAACTGACTGTGGTGAGCCCCCGTTATCTGCGTTTAAAACACTTACAGTTCAGTTAACAGACATAAATGACAACACACCTCAGTTCTCCCAAAACCCAATAAACATATATCTTTCAGAAAATAACAAGGCTGGGGAAATAATATTTAGTGTGAGTGCCACTGATAAAGATGTGAATGATAATGCTGTTATCTCATATCAAATCTTGAGGGATGGTCGCAACAAAGACATGACCTCATTCTTAAATATTAATTCAGAAAATGGACAAATAACAGCACTGAAGAGTTTTGACTTTGAGAGTCTGAAAACTTTCCAGTTCCAAGTTGTGGC